GGGGGGGGGGGTGGGGGGGGGGGTTCGGAGAACAAACATGGGACACGCACGTAGGGATAGAAACAGGGTAGGGGTCAGGGGACGGCCGACAAAAGGCGCAGAGTCTGGGAATCGTTTTTGCAAAAAAAAAAAAAAAAACACGCCGATGCGAGGGGAGGAGGAGTTGTTCTGTTGCAGATGGTGTGCGGTATCTGGTGCTTTCGCACACAAACGCAAAAAAACTGGACCGCGTTCTGCCTTCGGCACGTAAAGTAAAGGTGCCGCGTCTTGTAACAAAACCACGGAGTTTGGTGTACTAACACCAAGGCTGTGCGCTGGCGCAAGAGGAGAGACGGGACTCACTGAACATGGAAACGGGTGATCATTTGATGGACACAGTCTGTTTTCGTATATTGGGACTTAACAACACGGTGCAGGGAGTGGGGTTAAATTTTGACATTTCCCCGGGGTTTCCATCGAGACAAGAAGAGCCAACCGCACAGCTTGGGGGGGAAATACCATCCCGACAGCAGTGCCTGCCCAACCGGGGACCGACGACTCTTTTGTCATGGTCATGAGGAAAAAACAAAGTTATGATAAGAGCAACTCCAAAACACCGTTGCAAGGCCATGAAAATCAGCACTTCCAAAGCACCCTTACCCTCGCACTAGACAAAAAGAGGCGGTTGGTATGCATACGTGCTGTGCGCAGGCAAGAGCCATGTTCATGTTACGACGCATCAAAGGCACGACACCGCACGTCCCGAGAGGGAAGCGGGGCACCAGAACTATCGACGTTGTTTGTTCTAGCAAGCGCGCATTCTCCCTAAAAACAATTAGGAAAAATGTCGGAATGAGAGACAAAATAGAGTAGACCTCACTCTGTCACCGACCGATGCTTGCTGCTCATGTTTTACCATAGGGAGACACAAGACATCACACCCCCTGGACAGACTTTCACAGCTCGATTTCTCCACAGCAGAAAGAGAGCGGCATTGCCAAAAACAGCGGCGTTGGGACATGTTTCGGCGATAACTTTCCGAAAACGCATCGTTTCATTTATGCATCCTCTTCGTCGTCGAGTACATCGAGCTTCGAACATCGGTAAAGGGGGTGTGGCATCTGGTGTCGCCTACAACGCTCTGACCGTTCTCAGCAGGAGGGCGGCGCAACAAAGTGCCGGTTCACAGTTGGGAGTTCCCCGCGGACCCATTTGATTGTTTTCGAAAAGCAGGGTCCAGTCCACCTGCCGTGTGAGCACCAACACAAGATCTACACCAATATGCCACGCACACATTCTTCACGCCCGTGTCTGTGGTTCTTGCACCAAGCTGAGCGTGCAGTTGTATTTATTTGCACACACTCCTCGTGCTGTAGCTCACCACAGGACGAGACGACGGAGAAAGGCACGTCACCAGACGACCGGCAAAGAGCGGCTCCCATCCTTATCATTAGAGAGACGCTTTACCCTAGGCCTAACCATGCTTCACGCAATGCCTGTTCGCGTACCCATCCCCCCATCGCCGCGCCCTAATTCTTCTCTTTTATTGTTCAGCTGGTTGCCCTTGCGTGCTTGTTCAAGTACAAAAAGAAAAAAATCTCGGCCGTGGAATACATGTCACCCCCCAACAACGCTGTCGCACGGCACGGCACAACTCATGTCGAAACCCTTTCTTCGCCGCATCTACTGCTGTACCTGATAGCTGAACTGGTTGTCGATCAGCGTCTGGGTGCAGAACGACCCCAGGTACATCGACTGGTAGAACCCCACGCAGTTGTTGTCCACGTTAACCTTGAATGGAACAAAAAAAAAAGGCAGCGCAATTTCAGCAGGCACAACAAACGCGTGCAATTGCATGTACGCTCTCAAGCCAGGGGTGGGGAGGAGCCGGACAGGCGAGTCCACGACCCAAAAGGGGACAGACAGACAGACAGACAGACAGACAGGGACGGGGGGAGGGGGACCGGGACCTGTAATAGGCGGTCGCAATGTCATGGCCTCACAACCCATCGATTGCACGCGGGCAACTGTGACAGCAAGACCGAATCGAATCAAAAACCCCACGGTACGGCGCACACCATCTCCTTCCCTTCATCTGCTACCGTTTCTGCCATAAATCCGGAGAAAAAGCCTACCCTCGCCCATGACGCCCTCTCACGGGGTCGGTCCCAGACCATGGCATATAGAAGCGCATTCTTGTTGTCACCGCATTGAGACTGACGTCGTTCCATCGGTCAGGGTCTCGGTTAGCGCGCGGTCGATGCCAACAACAAAGACACACAAAGACGCACACACCTCTCTCAACATCTTCATCATCTCCATCTGATAGTCCTGCCCGTCCATGTCCTCCGGCGCCGGTTGCCCGTCCGGCCCCGCCGCCGCCGTCGGAAAAGGGAACGCGTGCGTTACCTTGAATTCGACAAGCGAGGGAGGGCGCCGGGGGGGGGGGGGAGGGGGGGGGACACCTGATGAACCCGTCAGAATATGCCATTGACAGAGAAGGGGAGCCCCAAACAACGGGAGGCTTTGGCCTGTCAGTCCTTAATCAAAGAAA